TAGATAAGATTTTTTTACAGGAGAAACATTTTTCACTCTCCTGTAAAATTTTAATTTTGTGATTCGTCACGTTTTTGAATTACAGCGTTCATTTCTACCCTTAATTTTTTTTTTAAGTATAGTTGGAGGCATCAGGGTTTTGGAGCCAAGCTCTAAAAACTGGCTCCGGCTCCAGGCTCCAGCTCCATTAGAATATTTGGCTCCTGCTCCGGCTCCAGCTCCGGAGCAGCTCTGGAGCATTTTGTTAATCAAAATCTTGATTCATCTTTAAAAATAAAGTATTGAAAATATCAGGTTTGAGTGAAGAACGCAGATCCTCAATACAAACTTAAGAGCAAAAAATAGCCTCTCTAGACTTGCTTGTGAGATAGGTAAACAAGTGACAATTCTGCACGCTTTTTGTATTATTTTTGGGTATTCTTCAATTCACTCAAAAACTGAATTCACTTTTGAACGTTCCATTTCTTCCATTATCCTACATTTGTCCAAAAAATTTTTATTAAAAGTATTTTTATCAAAAAAATTAAAAAAAGAAGCGTGATCATAATTAATTTTAATCACACTTCTCCTTTTTTCTTTTTTACTTATCATGTTCCTTTTCAATCTCATCCTCTTCTACATCGGAATTAGATTCACTTAAAACTGAAAGAAGTACTGTATATAGCACAGCAGTATTTCTTATTTCTTGACTTACTATTATATTCTTGGCACTGCTTTTATAAATTTTTTTTGCTATTGTTTTTAAGCCTTGTTTTGCTCTTAATATTTGGTTTTCCTTCAATAGTGTTATATATCTAGCATCAACATAAACTGCAGCTAAAAATATATCATAATCAAAAGATTTTTTTACTTGTTTCTGCATAGATTTTGAAATGTCTTCTGCAAATAGTCCTCGATTCTTCTCTGGGTCAGATTTCAATTTCAACCATTCCTTTACAAACTCTTCTGGAGTAATGTTGATTAACTGTCATATCATGTGGCTTTTTTAAAAGATCGCAAAGATGACTAGATTTATCCCATATTTCAGGGCGTAGAGAGAATATCTGATCAACTACAGCAAATTTCTTACACTGGACGCATAAGTAATAATCTTTTAATTATCCGGAATGTAGAACCCCAGCGTGTCTCATTATCCAAAATTGAAACAACCTTGCATTGCTTCCTTGCTAAAAATATTGTATGTAAGTTTCTTAGCTTCTTTACAACCTGACGGACTTTTGCCAAAAGTAAGGCAATGTATGTTTTTTTTTAAATATACCAATAGATAGCTGCAAGGTGTGAATAACACAGCGCATTAGCTTAATGCAAGTAGACAATTGTTGACACAACTCTGGGTTGATAAAGGCTAGATTTTTTTCCTAAGCTCCTTCACTTTCTTCTTCATTTGTATCCTGTTGTAAAAATTCCACTTTTTCTTAATCATGCAAAGCTTCATCTCAAAAAAATTTTATCACCTGAATATTTGTTTAAAATTGTGATTGCTCTAATCATATTGGCTGCTTTGTCCACACTTGCACATAATATTTGATCATTGCTGATACCAAATTTATATGGAGTATCTTCCACCATTTTTTTGATAGCAACAGGGTTGCGCTATTCTTGTGTATTTATCAGTGCCAAAATTTTTAAACTTTTTTCGCATAATAATATTGAATATTTATTTCCAAATAGTTATTTTAGTGTTGAGTGGCTGGATCTATTTTAACAGAAATAATTTTCTGTAATAAATTTCCTTTATTTCAGCTTTCTTTTATTTTAACAAAGTCATTTATCAAATTGCGTTCAGAATTGTGTCCGGTACTAAATCCAAGAGTTTTACCTATTTAGTCTGTAACCAACTGAAATCCTTCATCCGCAAATGTTTTCAACAAAACTCTGGTATTCACTATGATTTTAATAATTCTGAATTTAAAAGTTTTAGCATAACTTGATTTATTGTTTAACTACTAGTAATAACAAAAAAATCTAAAGAAATCTGCTTAGTTTCTTTAGTATTGAAATCTTGATAAAATAATTTGAAAGATTTTCTTTGGCCTTAAAGCTCATTTCAGATTAAGCAATTTTATATTCTGATAGATGTCATTTTTCAGAATCCTGTTTCATGTTGTAAACTTTTGATTTTTTTATTTGTATGGCCATGAAATCACTTTATCATTTAACTTTTCTATAATCTTACATATAACCAGTTACCCAGTTAACCAGTAATTTTATCAATTGTAAAGCACTTATCTAGAAACCTCTCAGGATTGTTTGAGTTTGAAGCTATTTTTATAAAAAACTATGATAATAAAGTAAATGACAAATTTGAAAGATAAGAGAAATAATAAAAAAGATAGTATAAACAAAAATAGTATCAATAATATCAACAAAAAAAAAAATGTATAAATCTTTTCCTAATTTTATTTGGAACTTACATGTTTATATCTATTTTAAAAATGTTTCAACTAATTAAAAACGTTAAAACAAATCATGTGACTTAACACATAGACAAAGTATTTTTTCGTTTAGGATTGACCATAAAGCAGGGCTTTTGGTGCAGCTCCGGAGCTGGAGCCGGAGCTCTCTGGAGCTGGTATTTTTACATGGAGCTGAGGCGGAGCTGGAGCTAAAGTATTTCCTGCCGGAGCTGGCTCCGGAGCAAAATCCGAGCCAGCTCCACCCTTTTGATAATTTGAAATATTATTTTTCCACAAAGTTATTATTTTATATAATGAGATTTTTTTCAAGAATTTAAACAATTATGCTCATTAAAATAATTATAATTTCTAAATAATGCATTTTTTCATAGAGCTTATAAAAAAAAAATTTTTTTTTTTGAGAATTTAATTTTTATTCAATTATGTAATATGTCATGTGGTTCATATTGTAGAGTATAATAAGTGACTTTAAAACAATACTTCTAGCAATGTCAATGATTGGTTATGGGATCATCCATAAAGTACGTAAGCTTTTTTTTTATCTCCCTTCCAACATCCTGTATTTTGCATTATACTTTTTTGAAATTAAAAGAGAAGGTACTTTTTTTTACCTAAAAGTACCGAGCATTTTAACCTACCTACTCAACATTTTATAATATCTTTTTTAACTTAGTGTCTCCTTACTTTTATAATTGACTACTCTGCCCTATTCGAGCGTACTTTATGTATGATCCTAGGTAAGTTAAAATGCTAGGTACTTTTAGGTAAAAAAGTACCTACTCTTTTAATTTCAAAAAAGTATAATGCAAAATGCAGGATGTTGGAAGGGAGATAAAAAAAAAAGCTGATCCCATAACCAACAATAACATTGCTTAGAAGTATTGTTTTAAAGTCACTTATCATACTCTACAATATGAACCACATGACATATTACACAAAGTAATTGAATAAAAACTAAATTCTCGAAAAATTTTTTTTTTTTAATAAACTCTATGAAAAAATGCATTATTTAGAAATTATAATTATTTTAATGACCATAATTTTTAAATTTAAAAAAAATATATCAAAACGTAACAGTATCGTTAATATTAAATGAATTATTATTATAAAATGAAGGGCTCAACCGGGATTCGAACCCGGGGCCTCTCGCACCCAAAGCGAGAATCATACCGCTAGACCATTGAGCCACAAAAGTGAGGCACTCGTTTATAATTCAATAATTTACCTTAATCATTCAAGCATAACACAGCGAAAACTAAAGTTGGTTTTTCGTACCTACTATGAGCATGATTGTTTAGCATACATATATTCATAAAAAGTTTCTTTATTCCATCTTACTAATATAAAATTTGTCAAAAAACAAGTATAGGCTAGCCTTATTTTAATATTTAAACAAAGTTATTTTGTTTATTAAGGATTCTGAATTTAGTTGAAGATAACACTTAATATTAGGGCTAAAATTTGAAGTAAGAACAAAGTTAAAATACATTTTTCAAGAAACAGTTTTAGTAGTAACATAATTTTCAATTAATTACCTTGATTCAATTAAATATCATTATTCACCAATCACACTCTACTTTTTTAAAAAATCTGATGGTTTTGTTTTAAAACTTCACAAGTAATAAAAGGATTGTAAATAAAAGATGGAAGTTTAAAAAAAATTTAACAATATTTACAGTTAGTTTATTGTTATTTTTTTTTCATAGTGCTTTCTGAAAGACTACCCAGTGGAAAAAAAGAAGTCAAAAAGACGTCTTTAAAAGTCTTATTTAATATGTCTTTAAGACGTCTTTTTTTAATCAATTATGCAAATCTAAAAGACGTCTTTTTTCGACATCAAAAAGACGTCTTTTTTTATCTTACTCTTGTCATGAAAAATCATAAAAAATGCGTCTTTAAGATGCCTTTTTTTAGTCGAATATGCAAATCTAAAAAAGTGTTTTTTCTCGGGGTCGGAACTACTTTTTTGCCATACTTATTAGCATACTATAGTATCCTATACACTTCCTATCCTTTTTCTTATATGAAAATTATTCCTATAACTTTTTCCTATACTTTTCTTATTCATATACTTTTCTTATATGAATAGCTATTTCTTTCAAATGAAAATGAAAATGAAAATAGCTCTTCATACATAGTATGACTAAAATCTTTTTCCGATGACGAGAAAAAAACCTCTTTTAGATGTCAATATAAAAGCGGAAGCATTTTCTACATCTTTTATATGTTTAAATATAGGAGAATAATTTATAAAGAAAACAATAGTATTATTCAACAGAATATTTTTTCATCCTTTCTCTTTCTTTTCTGTTTCTTGAGCGAGCTCTGTTTCTTGGCGTTGTTGAATAAAATTAACAATTTCACGTCGAGAAATCTTTTCATGCGAGCAGGTTACGACTTCTAGCTGGTTACCACTTCTAAAAAACGAGTGAACATAAAAAACAGTCTATTGCTTAAATGTAGTATAAAAAAAGCAAACGAAACTTGATTAGCTGAGTGGAGCGCATTATACTTACCGACTAATAATTCAAAAAAGGCTGATCCTTTTAATCTCTTATGTTTCCAGCGCAGATCTTCTTTTTGAACCCACTAGGTTAGATTGGGACAGGAGTTAAACGGTAAACAGTCTAAAAATATTAAAAAATGAGTGTGCTAAATAAATTTATAACTATCAAAATGACTGTACAACGATGTATTTTATTATGTAGTACTTAAATCAAGCATTTGCACCTCTCAGATTTGCTCTGAAAGCCAACTTATTGAAAACAGATATTGATATTTTTCTGTCTTCTATAACATAATTTTTTAATTGAATTTCGCTGAAATATAGTGTTGTAGACTCATTACAATTTCAAAATCCGTTATTGACTAAAGATAAAACAAAAAGATAATTCAGTTAATACACCTTGAGAGTTGTTATTCATTTAAACTAGAAAAAAGTATTAGCCAAACCTCTATTTTAGCTTGAAACATAAGGATGCTTTACTTAACAACATAAAATCATAAAAACTGGCAATATCATTAGCAACACAGATGAAATACACATAAACAAAAATGAAGATTAGAAAGTTGCAATGATGTTTAGATATAAGAAAGTGTACCTTTCCAGTATCATTTTCACTTGGTTTTTTGTAGCCAAACCAAAAATTTTGCGAACATTTCTAAAGACAAATCTGTTGTCATTATGTGTATTTTTATAATTGCTTTATTAATGACAGACAACAGTTAACAAGGAAATAACATATTTAACATAAAAGTTGAAGAACCAATCTTTTGCATAAACAGTTTCATCATTCAACTAAATAAAAGTAACAAAATTATTCAGATCAATTAAAAAAAAAAAAAAAAATGCAAGTCTACTGAATGCTTCTTTTTTTCTATCGTTCGTTTCACTGGCACTTGAACAAGTAAATATAGAGAGAAATTGTTTACAGGTTTTATTTTTCGTCTGAAGATAAATATTTTAGTTTAATATATAATAGACAACGTTTTTCAAGCACAATAGATTAAAAAATTAGTCTAAAAATAAATAGTAAAACTTTTTTTAAACACTTACCTGCCACTAACTTAATTGAGACTAGATCATATCAATACCATCTTACTGGTACCACGCCATCCACTTTTGCTTCTTCCGATTAACATTTTTTAGCTAAGCAGCTGCAATTGTATATTTATTTCAGTATATATATATATATATATATATATATATATATATATATATATATATATATATATATATATATATATATATATATATATATATATATATATATATATATATATGCATTTATATTATGTATATTTTACATAATATATTACTTTATATAAATATTATAATATATAAATTATTAAATAAACCCGCTAACCGAAAAAAGTTAATTTTTAATTAAATTTCCTATGCAAAAACGTTTCACATAAAAGTTATATAAAAGTATTTTGTAAACAAAAAACGGGAACGCACTCTTGTCAAACCCCTATTCCGACGTTGAGCGTCCTTTGCGTCCGCGAACTCGTGTTTCTAGGAAAAGGTCAAAACGGGGTATATAGGGATTTGCGCAGCGGTGCGCACATACACGAACTAATTTTTAGGGAGAACATGCAGCGAGTGTGTAAACAACGACTAAGGGTTTGGGGTGGGTAGGTTCTCTTTTAAATGAAGAAGTCGTTTTTTTACATTTTCGGACCATAAGGACAGCGTCGGAATAAGGGTTTGACAAGAGAGCCTACCCAAAAAACGGGCCAATCGTAACGTAACAAAGATATCGTAATTACGATACTATGGGTTAAAACCCATTTTTGTTAGGTTCTATTGGCAATAATTATTTTTAATTTTTTTAAGCAAATAATGATTTGCTTATTAACAACCGATTGACGTCTTTTCGACCTCTTTTTTGAAGACGTCTTTTTAAAAGACGTCTTTCCACGTCTTTATTTTGGCTGATTATAAAAAGACATTACAAGTCATAAAAAAGACGCCTTTTATTCGTTTAAATTTATTATTACCCACTGGGTGATAATAAATTTCTAGATCAAAATTGAATTATAAATGTCTAGAAATAAATCGGTTGTATTGTTTCCGGAGTTACAAAGAAGATATTTTTTTTTTTATCTCTATATTTAAAATATAGCAACTTATTTTTAAATAGAGCAAAAATACTACAACACAAAAAAAAAAATCCTGGAGAGATATCATAAGCTCCTTGCTAAAAAAACGTTTTTAAAGAACATAACAAACCTATAGCTAAACGGGAAGAAAAAGGTAAGGTTCAACCAATTAGTGGAGATTGTCTAAAACTTTGATATTTATACCTAGTATCCAGATATTCAAACATACCTAGTATTTAGATATTCAAACTTACCTAGTATCGAGGTATTCAAACATACCTAGTAGCGAGGTATTCAAAATAAGATTACTTTACGTTGATCGTGATTTTTGTTTTGATTACTTCTTAATAGTTCAAACAATTGTTAAAAACTTTACCACGATTTTAACAACTTTTGGCTTCTTTCTCTCTCCAGCCAGTCTATTATACCTCCTTAAAACATCTAAACCCACAAATTCATAATCACAAAGATTCGCGACAACGCATAAAAAATTTTAAGAAATGAAAGTTATAAGTAAAAGGGCTTGATTAGAGTTGACCAATTGACGACTTCGCACAGACAACACTGAAAAGCGAAATTTTGAAATGGCATAATACATGGAACATTGTTTTTTTTGCTATAAACAACTTCGTTTTTTGTGAAAACAAACAGATAGAGATTTTTGAATCTGATCAAATTAGTCAGCTTGTTGTTTCAAATTGCATTTAAAAATCACACTAGCCATTTGCCGTCAGCAATCCAAAATGAGTTTATTAAAGTTTAGAATCAGTTGAGAATATAATGGTAAACCCATATTTTATTGAAAATGACATACACAAACGACACTAAGACTTAATTTATGTTATATACGTACATGTATGTAGATAACATAAATTTAATTTTAGCTTTGAGTAAGTCATTTGAGTATGTCATTTTCAATAAATTATGGATTTAGCTTAAAATACCTAACTGATTCTAAACATTTGCAAGAAGTTGTATATCAAAAAACTATTTTTGCTATATCATACAATACTTCACTTTTTATATTTTCACATACATTTTCACTGCACCGTATTGGAGAATTAAACACTAATCTACTCAATCAAGTTGAATTTTATTTGGCATTTCACTTTGTAGGATGTAGAAAATCAGTTTAGTAATTTCTATTTGCTTCTTCATGTATTAAAATTTATACAAAACAATACTGCATATAATCTTCTAGTTTATATATTTACGTCTTTTATAATAAGATATTTGGAAATTACGATTTTGTAAAAATGGGGCTCGATGATGAGACATTATGTCTTAATCTTGCTTTAGCTATTTATTTCATTGTATATGTATGTATATGAAAGTTGTATTTATAGTAAAAGGCAAAATAAACAAATAATAAAAAAAAATTATTTTGTTCTAAATTGAATACGCGAAAAACATTATTTGTGAAAATACTGAAAAAAATAAAAAAAGCATTCACTTTAGTTTTCTTTATTCAACTTTAAATGAAAAAATAAGCCTGGTTTAATTACCACATATTTTTCTTTTATATAATAAATAACTCATCATTTAAAAAACTAAACTGTGTTTATGTGACCGCTATGACGTAATGTTTTATTTAAAATGTCATGGCCATATGCAATTAAAATAATAAAAGAACTCAATATGCTCATTAGTGCTTCAAGTTACATAGGTGTTAATGGAAATATAAATAATAATTTTTATAACTTTTTATTTGTCTGGCCAATGTTTAGGTCTATTTGGTTTTGAACAAAAAAAATTTATTCTTCATTTTCTTTTATTTAAAATCATTTCACAATAATATGCAATATCTAAAAACAAGTTATTAAAATTGGAAAATAAAACAAGAATAGTTTTATTTCAATTAATAGATAATTAATTAATAGATAAGCATTTTAAAAAACAGGGCTCAACCGGGATTCGAACCCGGGGCCTCTCGCACCCAAAGCGAGAATCATACCGCTAGACCATTGAGCCTCAAAAGTGAGTCATTTGTCTATTATTAAAAAATGCATCACAATTACTCAACCATAACACAATAAAAACGAAAGTTGCTCTTTTGTACATATTGTGAGCTAAATTGTTTGGCATATTTCATAAAATATTTCTTTATTCTATTGCACTAGAGTGCAATTTAAACTCTATGGTTGTAAACCCTGATTAACTAAATAATTAATAAAATTTCTTTTTTAATATCTGATTAACTAAATAATTAATAAAATTTCTGGAATTTATATTTGCACACCAGGATAGAAATAAAGTTTCTATTTTTTGCAACTTTTGCCTGTGGCAACTGTTTAAAATATTGTAATCATATTTTACATTTACTTGTAATGTATTAATTGTAAATAACAACATAGTTATATTTTTTAAATTTATTTTATCCATCTATTATAATATAACTTTTAATATATTCTATTAAAATTTAAGTCTTTACTTACAATTTTTTTATTAGTTATTAAGGTGCTTTAAGAAGATCCAGCGGAATTATCACAGAATACCGTGGAAGATCACTTGAAGATTACATTTCCTTCCTAGGGCAACTCTACGGTGTACCCTCATCATCCAAAAAAAGCAATTTTCAAGTTGTAGTCAGTTTTTTTGAGGAATATAGTCGGCTAGTCGGGTATGTGGCATATTTGAGTCGGTAATTTTTAGTTTTGAGGACCTTTTGTCTTTCTAGAAAGCAGTTGGTACTTTTGAATGTTTCCCCCCTCCTCACCTACTCAATTTATTTCTAGAATAGCCTCTGCCTCCTTCTTTACCAATATCCTTTTTTGGTCGTAAAGATGAAGTAAAGGTTTACACATTGATATAGTATATGCTGTCATTTTATTATATAATAAAATGACATAATATATACTAAAATGACATAGTATATAACATTTTATATACTACGTAGTTTTATTTTCTTAAATAGTCGGAACAATAAAAATGCTACGAATTTTTCATCAACTTTGTTTTCGTTAAGTGCAGTTAAATACGGAAACCGGTTGAAGTATTCATATCTTCATCAAATAAGATATGTTAATCATAAAAAAGTTAATGTGGTACAGAGGTTAGACTTTTGGCTCAAAACCAAAAGGTTCAGGCTTTGATGCCTGCTTTAACTAGATAAGTGAAATTGGAAAAGAAGGAGGCGTGAGCCTCCTTCTTTTCCAATTCTTGGGTAAATGCCCTTTTGAGATGCATTTATTGGATTGCTAAATTGGTAAAATAAATTGCTATTTTAAAATGAAAAAAATGAAATTTCTATTTTTTTTTTCTTCATTCTTGATCAAACAAATAACAAACAAAATGTCAAGCAGCTGAAAATGCTTTGGTTCAATACTTGTTGTTGGGTTGAATAATTGTTTTAAGAGCGTTGATTAAGAGCAAGAAATTGAGAGCTTAAGATTTGCACTTCTTAACTTGTTTTTTCAAAGACCAAGATTTCTTTTAAAATAAACTCAAACTTATCATTTGAGTTATGTTTGCTTTTTTACTAAATGCTGAACAGCCTCTTTTAACTCTTATTGGAGAGAAAGTTGTTGAGAGCTTCCTTCTCACATGAAAAAATTTTGATTGAGCACCATATTAACAGTTTCAAGATTTCCTTTTTGACATACAAACCTGCATATGACTTCTCTAGGACCGATATTTTATACGTTATTTTCTCTTGTCAATGTAATTAATTTGCAAACGTGCAATTTAGCGCAATTCTTATTTTGGTCGAAACTAAGTTCGACTAAAAAGATGGTCTTGAGCAAGCATATGATCAAACCAATCGAAATGACAGACAGTAGTAACAACCCGCTCTGCGGCTATCAATCAAGTATAACTTAATGAAGGTCATCCATAGTTTCAAACCAATTTAATTAATGCAAGTGTAAACACTGATCCTGCTTTGGTATCAACTCTCCCTGAACCTGTTTTTTATTACACCATCCCTGATGTTATGGCTCTTTATTGAGATTACGCATTGGGAGTTTTATCTTTAGGAATTTGTGGACAAGCCGCATTGATGCTTTATTAAAAAAGATAAAGCCATGCTTAATTAAAAATAAAAGATATTAAAATAAAATTTAAAATATAAAAAAAACTTTTTAAAAGTTGTTAACCTTACGTGACATTTGACGGGATGCGTTGGGCTAACATTTTTTTTTTTCAATTTTCCAGAAGAAAGATACTACCCTACGATACCTCTAAAAATAGTATCTATTGCAACAAATAGATATTTATTTGATTTTGGTTTACCATTGTTTTTGTAAAAATTGGGCAACTCTAATTTTTGAGGAATAAAAGAAGATATTCTTGAACGGTTTGTCCCCTATCTGCCATCATTTCGCGATAAACTCGGCTGGCTTTGACGTAGTTGTTTAGCCGTGGGCAACTTTTAAAAGAAGTGAACTAAATTTTGAATTAAAGATATAGGCAAGTTTTTTTGTATTTTTAGTGATTGGTGAGGCCCTCCGTCAAAAACTTGTAGAATACGAATGGAATTCTGTGACTATAATACAAAATTAAACCTGCAAAATTGCGACAATGACAAACTAAAGAAAAAATGTATGATATATAAGAAAAAAAGCGGTGTAATGAATGGTTACCTTCAGTGCTGTTGCGGATTCCTCAGCCTTTAAGCGATCTAGGCTATAAAGCTCGGTGGAGATAAAAGCTTCAATTTATTTAAAATCTTCTTTATCTTATTTTTCAGTATTAAATTTGAATATCAGGAGCATGAGAAAAAACTTTGAAAACCTAAAAATTCTTTTAAAAAACTTAAACTTTAATTTTATTGTAATTTGTCTAACTGAAACATGGTGTCAAAAAGGAGATGAGTCGAACTCTAATTATTTTCTATACGGCTATAATTCAATACACCAAACCAGGAAAAACGGCATTGGTGGGGGCGTATGTATATTTATTCTTAATTCTTTTACTTTTAGAAATTCGGAAAACCTCAGTGTTAATGACGCAAATTTCGAGTCATTAACGATTGAAATAATAAAACAAAAAACCAAAAGTATTTTTATAACTGCTCTTTACAGATCACCAAATGGTAATTTTGACGCATTCGAAAAACATTTAAAGAATTTGTTACCAATAGTCATTAAAAAGCACATTTATTTAACAGGTGATTTTAACATCTTTTAACCAAATGCAAGGATGCAAATGATGCCTTTAACTTATTTATACGATTGTTCTCTAAAAATTATGAAAGATCCTTTCAAAAAATTAAAAAAAACACAAACTCAAAAAACAAATTTATTAACCCATGGATGACAAATGATCTCAAAATATCATCTAGAAAAAAACAAAAGTTTTATGTGAAATTTTTAAAAACTAAAACTTATACCAATGAAATAAATTACAAAAAAAATAAAAACTATTTTGAAAGATAAAGAAAACAAATAAAAAAAATTTATTATTCTAATCTTTTAGAAAATTCCAAAGGAAATAGTAGAAAAACATGGGAAGTAATTAAAGAAGTAACAGGAAAATCAAAATTAGAAAAAAACACCACACTTCCAAAAAGATTAAAAATCATTATGAACAAAGAAATATTTGATGAGAAAGAAATTGCTGAAAATCTCAACAAATTCTTTATAAACATCGGAAAAAATTTAGCTGCTGATATAATTCCTGGAAAAACAACATTCCAGTCATATTTAAAAACAGCTCATTCTGTAATGGATGAGTCTGAATTGTCTGTAAAAAGAGTCGTGTCAATGAAAATCCTGGGAGTAATATTTGATGAACATCTTAATTGGAAAAGTCATATTACGCTCGTTGAAAACAAAATTTCTAAAACAATAGGCATTATGTATAAAACAAAACACCTACTAAGTAAAAAATGCTTAAAAGATATATACTACTCTTTTATTCATAGTTACATTAGCTACTGTAAGATTGCTTGGGCCAGTACTTGTTCATCAGCATTAAAGAAAATATATATAAAACAAAAACAAGTCAGTAGAGTTATATGTAATATGCATAAATGTGCCCAAGCCAAACCGTTACTCCGTGAAATCAAAGCTTGAAACGTCTATGAGTTAAATTTGTACCAAAACCTATTATTTATGTTTAAATATCAAAACGACATGCTTCCTAAATTCTTTAACAATCATTTTTCAATTATTTCTCATAAATACTTAACAAGGTGCTCTATTCACATTACTAACTTACCTAAGTCAACATTAAAAAAAACAGATTACTCAATTTCATATAGAGGACCTCCCCAGTAAACACAGGATGTTTTTAAAACGTTTTAATTCCGTTCAATTTACGGTCGGACGTTAAAAGAACCAATACAATCGTTTTTAAAACGTTTTTTTGCAAACGTTTTTTTTAATGTTAATTTAAACGTTTTTTTAGCGTTTTTTAAACGTTTTATTTTTTTTTTATTAACTTACAAAATTTCTCAGTTAGCTTATGAACGTTTTTAAAACGTGATAAAAAAACTTTTTTTAAACGTACAGCACGGCAATATTTAAAAGAGTATGTTTACTCAAATAATGGCGTGACCTTCGATTAGGCGAATTGATTTATTTAAGTAAAAATTATATAAATTAGTATATATTTAAATCAACCAAGTGTTTGTATTGTTTTTTTGTAGAATTAAATTTGAAAATATATTGGAGTATTTTTAGTTTAAAATCTATTTGGATTTGAGAAAAGGGAACAACATTCTCAGAATTTTTCTTCTTTAACTCTAAAAATTAAAAATAATATCAGTGGTTTTTATAAAGGAATTACTATATTTAAAAAAGGCTGAAAGGAAAAAAATATGATGATTTGTTTCAAGAAAGGGAGTGACTTACTTCAAAATGTCATTTTAAAATTTTTATTCTTTAATGATATTCTGGTGTTATTACCAAATGTTTAGCAGTATGAAACCTATAATATTATATACCATACTATATACCCTATTTTACTTATAAAGTTAATAATATTTAAAGTAATTTGTAAAAATTTTTTAATTGTAAAATTGCTACATGAGAAGACAAGTTGTTAGATGAAATTCAAATATTCTCTATGTTTGTGTTGTGTAGGTCAAAAAATAATAAACAAAGATGATATTGATTGTGATGACCAAGAGATTCATTTTAAGACACATCAATCTTCATCATCTTTAAATAAAAAGGATAAACATTATGGATTTCCATTATCTCAAGCAAGTAAGTCTTTAGTTAAAATTAATAGTGTAATGTTTGTTGTAAAATGCTAACATGACTGTCAATATTTAAAAATATCATTAAAAAGATGAGGTTCCAATTTTAACTTTAAATAATCACCTTCATGAAATCCATTATTTCAATATTATCAAAACTACAAATCTATGGAACAATTTTTCTTGTCTAATCCCAAACCTGAGAAAAATGCTAATATATATAATATAGCATTCCCAGTGGGCAAGGAAGTAAAAAAAGACGTCTTTTAAACGTCTTATACACGTTTTAGACGTTTTCTGAACGTCTTTTGAACGTTTTGGACGTATTTTAAACGTTTAAAAGACGTCTTTTTTACTTCCGTGCCCACTGGGTTGCCACTATTAGGTATTTTAATGTCTATTAGTTTTTCTCTGATTTAGGCTTAGACCAGTAAAGTTGTTAAATTGTTAAATTTATGTATTTTAAATTTATTTACGTAGTTTAGTTAAGACAATGTAAAATTTAATTAGTGTAAATTTGTTTAGACTTTCAATATTATGTGTTGCTTCTCTTAAATGAGATAAAAACCCAAGGATGCAAAAAACTTTATATAAAATAGTGCGAAGAAGAAGTAGTAACTGAAATGAACAGCATAATAGAATTTGATAAGTTTGACTCAGCACTTGACAATGTTTCATCTAGTAACTCAGTAGTATCTCTGCAGTTGTAAATTGCTAAATACTGATTTGACAGGTTTTTCTTTTTTTTTTAATTTTCTTTACAATATATAATTTTTACTACTTAATTAGGAATTGTCAGATTTCCATTATTTCTTTCTATTAGAAACAAAGAGTTCAAAATATTAGTGGTAAGAACTGTCAAAAACTTGTGATAGCTATGAAGAAGAGGTTAGTAAATTAAAAGTGCATTCCTATAAATACTCTGTTTAATTTTATAATGATATTACTCCCATTTTACAATCCATTATACAATTCCCATGCATGGCTCTACGTTAGCCGTTTTACCATAATGGGATGACTGAATAACCGTGAATTTCATACGCGCAAACTAGCACATGTGCAAAGCAGTTACAAAAACTGGCACAATGCCAAATGGCATAAGTGCAAATGGGCATAACTGCACAAAAAGAATTCCAAACATTGGCATAATTGCAAACTGCTATAAGTGCAAACTGGCATATGTGTAAATTGGCATAAGTGCGCTAAATAGATTTACAAACATTCGCATAAGTGTGAATTGCCATAAGTGGGAACTGGTATAAGTGTGAAGCAGTTGCAAAAACTCGCAAAAGTGCAAACAACATAAATGCAAACTGGCATAAGTGTGCCAAATAAATTTGCAAAATTTAGGATAATTCCAAACTGCGAATTTATTACACGCATTTATGTCAGTTCGCACTTCTGCCAGTTTTTGTAACTGTTTTGTACGTAATCAAATTTTGCACTTATGCCTATTCGTATTGTTTGCTAACCTGTTTGGCGCACTAATGCCAGTTTACACTTTTAACAGTTTGCACGTTTAAAGCTATAGGTTATCATATAGCTTTAAACTTTAGTCCAGATAATTCTTTTAACCCAGATAATATTCATATATATGACTACACTAATGGTTAGTGTACACTTATGATCTGGACTATATTAATGGTTAGTGTGCTATTTTTTAAATAATAGATTAGATTTAATTAATAGATAAACTGTATCGTTAAATTAAAATCTAAATGTTTAATTACATTTAGATTTTACATTTATGTACGTTTATATATATATATATATATATATATATATATATATATATATATATATATATATATATATATATAATATATATAAATATATATATATATATATATATATATATATATATATATATATATATATATATATATATATATATGTATATATATATATATATATATATATATATATATATATATATATATATATATATATATATATATATATATATATATATATATTTATATATATATATATATATATATATATATATATATATATATATATATATATATATATATATATATGTATGTGTGTATATATATATATATATATATATATATATATATATATATATATATATATATATATATATATATATATATATATATATATGTGTGTGTGTGTATATATATATATATGCAATGTGAAGTTATATATATATATTTTTAAAACATATATTTGTAATTTAAAAACTTATTACTATTATTATTATACTATATATTATTATTAAACTATAATACTATTATTACTGTTCAGATTGTCTGTCTTAAAGTGCCTTAAATCCATCGTTATAATATTACTTTGTTTGTAAATTGTTTTAAAAAATAAATTTAAAAATAACTTTTAAATAAATTTTTTATTTTTCTTATTTTTTAAACCAACAGGTTCTTTTAAAAACAATTTAATAATAGTACCTATGGATTTGGAAATATTTTCTAAAAAATAAAGTCTTTTAAAAGTTTAAAAGACGCCTAAATTATGGTTTTATTTAGGTTATTTGAGATTGATTTTTAAACGTTTTTTTTAGAACGTTTTTTAAACGACTTTTTCAGAACGTTTTTTAAACGCTTTTTTAAAAACGTTTTTTAGGTATTGCCATTCAGAACGTTTAAAAAACGTTTTTTTTCTTAGTTAAAAAAACGTTTTAAAAACGTTCATGTGCTTACTGGGTCGTCTATGGAACAGAATTCTTGACGACAAAATGAAAAGTATAACCTTAATACAATCTTTTAAAAATGTATTAGAATTTGCTTGACTTAACAGATTCAAACATACTTTTATATTACTAGTTTTTAAATTAAATTTTTTTTTACGTTACTTATTTGTTTTTCTTGCTGTTTTTTTTTTTTTTTTTTTTTTAAATTTTACTTTTTACTTTACTTTTGAAGTATTTTTATCTTGTTACAATAAAGTTTATATTTGTTTGCTTTATATAATGAGTATCTGTATATAATGAGATAATGACACAAAAAAAAATGTAAATAATTATTATATATATTTTATTTCTATATTTTACTTTAGAAGTCTTATTATAGTATAGCAATTTTTAACTTGCTATATAAAATGATTATTTATTTTTTTGTTATCTTTTAAATTTCTTTACTTTATTTATTTAATTTAGCAAATTTTATTTTATTATTGTTATTTTAACTTGCTTTATATAGTGAATATAAATTATTATATTTTATATATTATGGATACTTTGTAAAAATTTTATCACGCAAATTGTAGGGGCTTGACGACAAGACTTATGTCTTCTACTTGCTCTTGTCATTCTTTATATTTTGATTTATTTTGTTAAACATGGAAACGAGAACATTGTAAAATGCTTATATATGACGAAATAAAAATAAATAAAAAATGAAAAAAAAAAAAAAAAAACTTATGCCTAATATTCAATTTTTTCGATTGAAATATCTTTCTTTTAAATCTGTTTAAAAAAATTTCAATTTTTTTTTAATACAAAAGTGGTTATTTCGATCATAATACTAATGGATAATTTGAACATACCTAATATATTTTCACTTTTTAACTTCTACTTGAAAAATTTTTTTTTTATAAAACTTGCGCTCCAATATTAAGAAGTATTAGTCAAAAATTGCTGCAGGGGGTAATTCTCGACCAATTTCTCTTATTTCAGTCAAATTTTTTTTAGTTTTGTAATAGCTAATACAAAAATCAGGGAAAAAATTTGTATTTCTGAAATATGTTATTTTCACTCCATTCTATTTTCAAGTGATGCCTTATAAGAATTAACCGATGGATAATTTTTAGCGGTTGATAAACATTGAGAAACTTTTCTATTTGCAAACACACTGTTATAAA